AAAGTCCTGACTTAATGTAGCAGTTGGAAAGGAGATGGAAAATTATGAAATAAGCTAGAAATTTCTAGCTTTCTTTTATCTGGGATTTTCACATGATGATTTTGAGGTTAGAAAATGAATTTTCCTTTGGATACTTCATTGTATTTTGTTTGGCCTGCTGCCAAACAAGGCCTACTAGCTGTGTAAATCTCTTACAGTAATAAACAACTGGATCTGTTATCTGACAAGTTAATGTTTAACAGTTTAACAAACCGGTGATTAACTGCAGTAATGGATGATTTTGAGAGAACCATTACTTTTTACTTTCATAAAGTACACTTTGTGTTTATCAACACACTATTATTTTTGAAAGCTATGTTTCTTTGCTAAACTTAATGGCTGCCATATCATTTTCTCTGTAATTGGGAAAGAAACAGAGGTTCAACATTGACCATTTCGTCATTGGTTAAGTACTTTATAACTAGAATGATCCTACAGATTTATAATTGACCAGTGATCCCTTTATATGCCATTTAATTGGTACAGGTTACTGAGTAGGAATTTTTACAGTATGACAAATAATATTCACTGGATACTAATACCAGAAGTGTTATGATTCAACAAACCAACCACCATCTAGCAACAGCAATGGAACTTAGGAAAAGTTTATTTAACAGCAGCTCTATAACATTGATAGCTTTTGTTCAAAAGGAAGTGAATTAGTGTTAGTTTTATTGATCACACCTTCATTAAGAACATTAATAAGATTTCTCTCCCTTACCAATTTAGAGATGAGAGAATTTTTCCATAATTCTTTGTTGGTAATCTGGTAGGATTTTTATTTTTGATATGTAGGATTTTTACTTTAGATCCTTCCTTTCTATTCCACTTCCAAGTTGATAAGACTTCAGTGTCAACAAATCAGATGGATGCTGGAACAAAAGTATAAATTACATCCTTGTTGCCTATTTATTTATTTTAAAACATAATCTTTTTCAAAAGATGGGTAGAGCACTGAATGGTGGAAGTTCTGTATATAGTACATAGAAGGTTTTAATTATCATGCTGTTGCTATGTAGAAATTGAGCAGAAAAAAACCCCATCAAATACTTGTTCATCTTTCTGCTTTAAAGGGCAACAGCAAGGTTCTGGTTACTTACCTTTCCTGTATATAACATATGTAAGTCCAGTCAGGGAGCAGTTCCCCAAGCATGCAACTAACACCTACTTCTGTATCTCTGTTTCATTGAACTCAGATGCTCAGCTTACCTATTGTTAGACCATGGTCAGTGCTTAGAAAAGAGTGAGCTGGCTTTGATCCAATCCAGAAAAAGACTGAGCTTTCTTCTTTGACTGAGGAAATAACCAGTCACAATACATGAACTGATATTGGTTCCCTTGATTTAATCATGTGTTGCCATTTATCACTCAAGTTCACAACCTGTGGCTTTTATTAGAAACTTAGAGGCCAAGACTGCAGCAGTGGCCAGAAGCATGTTTCTAATCATTTGTGTTTGGTGAGGATGCAGCCCACAGAAGTAAATACTTGGTCACCTCCAGATTGAATTATTATAATGTGCTGTGTATGCAGCTATACTTCAGGACCACACAGACATTTCACCTAGTGAAGAATTAAACTACACACCTGCTGGGGTCTTGTGATAAAAGGCCCATGTTTCATTAATACAGCCTTCAGTTTGTTTTTCAGTCTGTTTTAAAGTGTGCTATGCAGTCTTATGTGGTTACTCACTGAGATCTCATAAACCACTTTCTCCATATTCAGTACCATTGCCTTTGTGATGAAGGCATTTGACATGGTACAATTTAGGAAGAGCTGTTGGGTGAGCTGTTTTTAATAGAAGCCCTTAATTAGGATTTTGCTTTTTTTCATTGGTCCGTAAGGGGCTAGATATATTGACTTTCAATTTATAGTCCTCTCTCTCTCTCTCTCTCTCTCTCTCAAGACTTCTCTGGGAAGATGAGCTGAGTGGGTAGAACTGGGTGCAGGTGGAGTCTTAGTTTGTGTGAAATCAGGACGATTTTCTTATACAGGAAATTGATTCTTGTGTCTGTCTTCATCATATATTGTATGTATGCCTACAGTAGGCATATTTTAAAATCCTTTGTTCTGCATTCAGGACAGTTGGGGTCAATGACCAAAGCAAATACTGAACACTTTTTTTCTTCTTTTCATATAGAGTTGGCAGAAGATAGGCAAAGGAGCTTGTGTTTGATTTAAGATATGGTTTCGCATTCTAGGTCAAGGCTGAAATGAGGAGTATTTGAATTTGCATCCCAAAAACTCTCAGAATTTCTTCCAAATTACAAGCTTCTTAATGTCAGTTACATTTGTAAGACTTCCGCGATCATGGGACAATAAGCAAATAGAACTAGAAAAAGAAACCCCTTTACTGTTCTGGATCCAATCATAACCCCAAAACCAGTAAGGGCAAATTCAAGATTTGGGGTTTGGGCTGCCACTGAAATTCCAGCTTAGGGTGTGAGGCCTGGCTCCTGGCCAAATTTTCTCTAGCCACAATGTTTTCCCTTGGACAACTGATTCCTTAATTATGGGTTGGATGCTGTGCTACCAATGCAAACAATTGTTACCTTGTGGAAGCATTTCACTTTGAATCTGAGCAACCTAATTCTTGCAAGCCAAATTCTACAATCCTTTATTGGGTGGGGTCCATAGCCGAGGAAAGTTTTGTTTTGTTATTATTAAATATTGCTAAATCTAGCTATTTCTGTATAGTTTGTTTCAAAATAAATAACAATATATTAGACTTAACAATGCTACGTATATGAAGGCCCATATGACTTTCTCAATAGTATCTACAGTTTAGTTGTAGAAATGGAAACATCCAAATGTTTTCACTTACATAAGAACCACAGTTGTCTAAGCTAATATATGAGCTTATTGCTGTTTAAGGTGTGACACACACTTTTATAAGTTCTCCATGCCAGCAGAACTTAAGGATATACTACAGATGTTAAGAAGCCTTTTCTGTCACTTTGGGGTAGCTCACATTTAAAAGCAAGTAGCAGCTTGCTTCCATTTGTTTCCAAAATAACATGGTAAGAATAATCAGTTTCAATTGCTGCAGATAATTATAAGGTGCACTCATTGGGAACATAGAGAAAGGGAGTCTATGAGCTGCATTTGAACTCTGTACTTAAGCAATAAAAAATTTATCAAACTGCAAAAAAAAATAAGTCATTTTAACGAGCACATTCCAAAGGTGCTGGATTTATGAGGAGACCCCAGGAAACTTTGATTGAAATTGTTGTCTCTGATTGTAGTTCTATATTTTATTGGTGCCATATTGTGAACAGTGCTGCTGCCAAAGTGAATGGGAAAGAAGCATAACAGAGTTAACCCATGAAGGTTACTTTTTTATAATATCCATGATGTATTGCATTAAAAATGCCTTGAAAGCCATCCCATTTGCAGTTTTCAGAAAGCATTTTTTCTTAAATTAAGTTACGATTTATCTGAACAGGTCAGAAAATGGGAAAGCCCCTGAAAGACTTTACTATTGATTTTTCTCATAGTATTTGCTAGTTCTTGTTTTCTCATTTGAGTACTCCTTGATAGAACAGCCTAGAGCAGTGTGCTGATCTTGAGCCAAAGCTCCAGCAAAATGGGAAAAACAGCAGTTAGGGACAGAGATGTGGGGGCTGATCTTACCATGAATGTTTTGCTTGAATAGCTTCAGGTTTAGTTTCTGAGATGTTTCATTTTTGCTTTTTGTTTCCAGAATTTAAGCCGAATTTAAATCATCTGGAAAATGATTGGGACTTTATTAACTATTAAAGCCTTCCTTCAACTAAATAAACACTGTGGTAGCCATATGTGATGAATGACTTGAATATTTTGAAAGTATGAGGTCAATGCTACTCTTTGTGTGTGCATAGAATAATGAAAGTTATAAATCTTTTTTTGAGTAATTTTTGTTTTAAAATAATTAGGCATTTAAGTTTACAAAAATCATTACAGCAAAACATATCTTGAATGACAGTCAAACTGATATATTCAGCCAATTAATAATTTTAAAACAATAATTAGGCATGCCACGTGCAGTTGTTGATTATTACTAACCACTGAGGGCAATTCAGCGCCAATTTTTCATTAAAACTTCATCTTTCCCCAGACAAAATGCTATTACATTAGCCATAAAACTATTATAGCATAGCTTCCAAGTACTATATTATAAATGCCAACTGTATCTTTGACTTTATACTGTACTGCTCTAAGCTTCTGAAAATAGCTGTAGTTAGGGATTAAGCTCTAAATACGTTTCCATTGTAATGGATTATTGTGATTTTTTTTTTTTTTATCTTAACAAACATGTTGTTTAATGATAAAAAAATAATGCTATCATGTTTTAGTAGTCTAATAATTTGAGAAGAGGATGGGAAAAAGGGTCCAAAGGTTCTCTGCTCAGTGCTGTGAACTATTGTATGTCCATGTGTAGATCATCCAGCCTTGCTGCACCTCAGTTTGTGCTATGGTAAAGGTAGAATAATAATTAGAAAAATGTAATTGCTTGTAAAGTGCTTTGAAACACTTGGCCCAAACTGGTAATAGAAACTCTTTCTCCTTCTAAGTGTTATGTAACCAGTTCTATATTATGTTAACATGAATACATATATGGGTTTAATTATCTATATATGAATTAGAAGTGGGCCAGAATATTATTTCAGTATTCCAGCATATGAAGAAAAGCTTGATTGTCCTGATTCTTCATTCCCCAGTTCATTGAATAAACATTTGTGCTAGTGCAACACTTGGTGCAAAATCCTACCATTCTGATATAGTAGCATTTTACACCCATGTTGATTCCAGTAGAAAGAGTACAATGATTGCCCCCAAGGTTTTGGTCAAAGGAGAATTGGACCCAGTGGCTAACCTAATTGGGCTTGTACTCTTAAAACCAACTTTGTTTTGTATAGCTTTAATCCTGTCTTTTTTTTTTTTTTTGTTCCATCTCCCCATTCCCCTACTTTTGTCTTTTTAGATCCTGTGATTAACAGAAATCAACTACAGGATTTGAGAGGGCGAGACCCAGCTGTTTGGCATGTGGGTCTGAAGATTGCATGGGACATAAAGACGCCTGGATTAGCATTACCCCTTCACCCAGGAGACTGCTACTTTATGCTGGGTAATTTTGAAAGACTAGCAAGACAAATGTATATTGAAAATAGAGTGCTAGGCTCTCAATTGGTATAAATCATCTTGCCTCTGTTGGCATCAGTAGGATTGTTCTGATTTTTAACAACTGAGGATTTTGGTCAAACTGTGTAATTTTAATTATATTTTCTATGTATTTTGAATCGCCCTAGTTCCATTTTTCCTTTGGCTTTTCTCATTCTCCCTGCTTTGTGTTCCTCTTTGTGGTATACAATCCTTTATCATACACAGCCTGTTGAGCCTTTCCTTAGGTAGTGCACAAAATACCAGTTTGGGTTAGGTTTCAACACAGATGGGATTGAAAGTTTTTTCCTTTTTTAGCGCTCTCTTCCTCTTTTCTGTACAGAGTTGTCCTGGGAAACAATAACTACATACTAGGGGTGTGTAAAATGTGCTGTATTAGATTCAGATTTGGATTCGGCCCAAATTGGGGGCAGTGATTCGATTCGTTTATTCAGATCACTGTCCCAATTCGATTCAGCCAAATCCAAATCTGAAGATTCGATGCTGATTTGGAGAATCAGTGATTTGGCCATAGACACAGCTTTAAATGTTTTTTCTACATACATCAAGGTATTAGGCACAGCTTCTAAACACGATGATGGTTGGGTGGATGGAATGTCCCACAGGAGCACGTGGGATCCCCAGCTTCTGATCCACTTCCGGGTCTGCTGCCGAACGCACTGGGGAGCCCCCTGTGCTCCTGTGGGATGTTCCATCTGCCCCAGCATTGCAGTGTTCACGAGCCGCCTGGTACCTTGATATACGTAGAAAAAATATTAAAAGCTGTGTCTATGTCCGAATCGCCAAATCTTTCTGAATCTCTCTGAATCGATTCGGAGGGTTCCGATTTGATTTGGAGAGATTAAAGGGTCTCCTGATTCGATTTGGAGATTTGGCCACCAAATTGGGCCAAATCTCCACCAAATTGAATCAGGGACCCAAGCTTCGCACAGTCCTACTACATACCTAACTGTCTTATTACAAAATCTTTCCAACTCTGAAGTCTAGGGAGCAGAATGACTTATACCTGTGTACTAGCTGAGAATCTTCCTGCTTTCTCTCTGTCTCTCTCTCTTTTTAAGTTCCAGACACCTTGATGTGTCATGATGTTTCCTTATACTGCCTTGGGCTTGCATGGGTGTGTGTATTTGTGTTGGTCATGCTGTTAATACTTTGGCCAGTATATATTCAAGTATATTATTTGCCAGTATTGTGTATTTATTAAAGGTGTACATAACTGAGCAGAGAATCTTGAGCTGTGGTTGTTAAATAAGGAGCCCCAATGCCTACGATAGGGATTCTCATCCCAGGTGCTGTGACACCTTTGTTTACCATGAAATCCTTCTAAGGGTGCTGCGGAGTGCCATGCAATACTAGCACTGTTAGATCTGTTAAAATGTATGTACGATTCACAAGATAAACCCAGAGATTTCAAATAGGAATCTGTGGTGTCTCTAGTGGGCGTGGTGAGTACCATCCTGTCCCCCTTTACCTGAGTGCTCCTTCAACTTGCCTGCCACAATTTGCTGGTACTGGGTGAAAGGAAGGGTTCAGTGGTGTTCTTCTCAGGTGACCTGGCGACAGAGGTACTCACGTTTGTGCCGCGATGTTCCTTGGGGCTATGCCTCCCCTATACCCCGTCCACTCGCCAACCGCTTGGGTGTTGCTTCTGTTGTTCTGCCATCCCTGTTAACCCCTTTTCTAAGGGGTCAGGCATCAGCTTTGGCACCGGTTTGCCTGGATGTTAGGGCAACTGGAGCCCGCAGACCCTGGTGCCAGAGGGCTGGGCTCCTGTGATCTTGCATCTTTCTCTCGGGGAGAGAGATGCTCCTATGGAATCCAAAATTGAGGCAGCCGGGGATCGGTCTTCCCCAGCCTAATGCCGGGATGCTGCTCCCCTTGCACCAAGTGCAGGCGCAGCACCTGCAGCTACGATCCTGCCAGCTTCAGGAGTCATCACCTGCCTGGCGTGCTTCCAGCTGGTTCTCTCTCCCTCTCTTCCCCCTGCCGGCTTCCAGTGGGGTTTTTAAGTTTCCCGCAGTGGCGTCCCCAGCCGCCGCAATCAGCTCAGTGCTCCCTCGTCTCAGGAGTAGCTGATTAAAGAGCCAGCGTAATGCTGGCTCACACAGCCGTGGCTCCGGTTCTGGCTTCAGCTGCATTCTAAAAGGTAAGTTTTCTGGGGTGTGGGAGGCCTGTTTGTTCCCCGCGGGGGCTCTCAGGGTTTCCCCCAGCCCCTTTGGCACCTGTGGGGGCTTCTCGCCGCCACAGAATCCAGTGTCTCCTGTTTCAAATAGGGTCTAGAATCCAAAAACATTCTGACCTGCTGTGGTCTTTCTGAAGAAAAAAGGAAAAAAAAGAATTACTCTGTTGTTTTTCTGTTGTCAAAAAATGAGTGAAAACTAAGAGCTGACATTTTCTGAGGGGTGCCTGGAGTCTAACAATGTTGAGAACCAGTGTCCTATGATGTGAAGAATAAAAAAATAAAAAGTAAAATTGGGCTTTTTTTTTGTAGCTACACTGCTGTAGCTTTGATAAGGGGTATGCTGGCAGAGTGCTTAAGCTCTTACTGCAGGTCCTGAGGTGTGAGCTCAAGGTCCCTGTGGAATCATATTGAAGGCTGCCTCCAATTGACCCAGCTGTAAATAGGTAACTGGATATTTGGTCTGGGTAATCAAAAGTAGCTGGCTATGATGGTAGACATATAGTATTCCTTTGACTCCCATTGGCTACAGAAACTGTAGCCAATTATGCTGGTCCAATGGGCCACTTAGTTTTGGGCATACCTTTGATACTTGTTGTCCCAACCCCATTCTCTCCCCCACCTCCATTTTTTTAAATCCTCTTTGGTAACATAGCAAGGGTATAAAGTCTGGTAATGTAAATGAGATTTAGAGGAACAAGACCAAGATCTTTATTCTTGGCTTCCTTTATTTAAATCCCATTCCATATGAATCATAACGGAATCCCACCAGGAGCATCTCATCTATGACACTACAGTGATTGCCTGTACTAGTGGCTCCCAAAGGTGCTCTGCTTTAAGCACTACCACAACTCATGTATCGGCA